GGGGACGCAGCTCACCCACCCCGTGCCGGGCGTGACGAGAGCCTCCCCCGAGGGACGGGGGCTTCCCTCGTCCCTGCCAGGGAGCCGGCGAAGGGCAGCGTGGGGAGCGCGGCAGGAAAGCTTCGGCAACGGCACGGGGAGGTACGCGGCGTTGCCTCGGGATGCCGCTGTAAGCCGTCTGTGAATTTGCGTGAGCGATGGGACTTGCCCAAGTCCGCAGCTCTACCGCCGCTCACTTGGGCAGATCGGAAGCAGGTGGAAACAAAGCTTCAACACAGCCTTTTCTTCCTCAAAACAAGAGGAAGAATGCATTTCTCTTACAAATCTTAAAAAGCTAATTTTTGGTTTTTTTAATTCTACTAAAAGTAAAGTTGAGAAAAATCTATGGCTCTACATCTTATTTAGAGCATTGATCTGCTCTGGGACTGATGGAGCGGAGCAGAAAATCACCACCACCTTCCCTATTTAGAAGTCAATAAAAATGTTCCCCCTAAAAAACCCAGAAGGCACTAAAAAATTACTGATACAGAATGAGACGCAGGTACTTGACAGTGACAGACAGAGCTGGGATGTAGCGCACACCCCTTCCACCAAAAATAAAAGCATGCATCACAGCACGCGCCTGAAGACAGCGTATCAAACTGGGGGGCTTAGGGGAACTCAGACCCGCAAGGGCCGCTCTGAAAGCCCGAAGAAATGCAAACGAGCAGCAACAGCAAAGAAGAAACTGCTTTTAGAAGGAATTTCACTGGGGAGTTCTGTGCTGCCAAGTCTTTGCTTGTTGTTTCATAGTGGCTTTTCTTAACCTCACTGGTACCCCCCCAGCTCTCCTACATGACTTGCTCCTTCTCAGCTTCTTAATCCTGCTTTCATGGTTATCTGAAGGAGAGAACCATTTCTGAAATTCCAGCAGAGTAGAATTGCTTTCCAGGTACTTCTCTTGAACTGCACCTTCAGAACTCCACAGCCTCTTCCTCTCCTACCCTACCTCTGCAAATACAATTTTACATGCAGTGGGATGTCTTGCAGTGACAGATAATCCCTTCCAGGGCTTGGAGCACACGGGTTTAGAAGTCGTCACCCGCAAGAACCACCTCATCTCATGTAAACCGCTGGTGTGTTAACATCTGTGGACCAATTTTAGGATGAGGCTCTATTTCTACAATATGCTTGTCAAAAAAGATCTACATCGATATCATCATCAAAATACAAGAAAAATAGTGTTTTAGCCTGGATTTGTAACTCTTTGTCCAGGAAACAATTACATGCTAAATTCCAACTCAGGGGAGGGGAAGGAAGGGTATCATGACCTATTTCCATTATGGGAAGAGCAAGATTTACGAAGGGATATCAACTGTTCCCTTTGATAAGACATTCATCACTAATAATAATGCTGACTTCTAAAATGGTACCTGTGCGGGGAACCGACTAAAATAACTCCTGCACCGGACAGGTAAGAGCTGGGCAAATTCAAAACAAGATTCCCTCTCTGTGATGCACGCTAAGTATATTACGGTAACCTGTAAACACGATTTTCTCTCCCATGTATGTGTCAAAGGCAGCTACGCTATGTTTGCTCTGTAAATTCAAGTGCTGCTTTATTTACTTATTTTACTTCCATTTTACTTAGAACAGTTTCCATATGGTGACATGCCTTTAATGACACTCATGACTCAGAAGTACTCATCGATGTAGTCAAACAATGTCTATTGACGTGAGTCACTGAAGTTAAATAAATGTTACTAAAAATGAGACAAAACAAAAGGCAAACATATATATATCCAGCAGAATGATAGGGATCATCACCATTTGATCAATCTTCCCTGTGAGTTTTATCTGCAAGTTACTTTGAGGTAGCGCTAGAAAGAAGCTGTTGGTCCAAGAGCATCCCTGCAAAAAGAAACATTCACGGCTTAAGTACCATTTAACCTTTTTGTACCCTTTTAAGTACTCTTTACCCTTTTTGGCCTGGTTCTTTCTCCCTGCCCACTGACTGCAGGATTAGTATCCCCTCAAACCATCATGCCTTTCTGTTCAGAGAAGTGATAGAAAACAAAAACACTGCTCTTTTTGAAGAAATTAGCGGGTTTTGAGTAAAGGCACTATCTATTGCAGCTAGGTGCAATGAAGAGTTTATAAAACCAATACTAGATACTATTGCAAAAAAAAAAAAACCCACCAAACCTTCATCAGGCTTCAAAAAAACCCAACTACATTTCAGCTGGGGAAAACAGACAAAACACAACTGGAAGAAGTGAAATATTGTGGCATTGAAAAACTTGCTTTTTCCAAAGCTCCCACTGCAATCAGATCTTTGTAGAACTGATGGCAGGCACCTGTGTGATCTGTTCGGGTCTTTGTGTAAGCTAGCTAATGCAGGCCTGTAGTTGCAGAACAGCTGCAAGTTTATTGAGTAAAAAGCCTTCTAGCAGTCCTGATGCTCTCACTTTCTCCTGTATTTGGGGTTCATGGGTAACACACCAATATAGGAAGAAATTCTGCGTTCAGTATGCCTTTACAGCAACGAGTGTGCACACCACCTTGATCCCATGTATGCACTCCTAACTGGAAAGGGGAATAGGCTAATAAGGCTGAGGAGACAGAAAAAGAGGTCAGAACGCTACGTTAGAAGTGTCACATGGGCTGCAACCAACACACTCTGTTCCTCACCTCATTTTTCTTGTATGTTGACCGGAAGAAATCACACCCCCAACATTTCTCAGGTTTGGAGAACTAATGGCCCAAACACCCTCTTCCACTGCATTACATAAACAGTACTTTGACTATATGGGTTCTTTACAGCCCAGAAGGGAAGGTGCATGCATGTCCGAAAACAGCCTCTAACGCAGAGTGCAGAGACCTTGTTAACAGGTAAAATCTGCTTAAATGGGGTGGCTGCAGATGGTGACTTTTTTGAGGTTTATGGACTGTGGTGATACAGTGGCAGACTAAGTGAAATCACATAGCTACGTGGGCCCCTCACTACACAGTTCACACACAGATCAACCTCCCAAATGCCAAAAAAATCAGCATGGATACTCCATAGTATTTCTGCTGAGCCAACACACATCCTTAGCATCACATTTTTAACTGGTAACACAAGAAAAGGTTTCCACAAATTACTTGCTGCAACTTAAGTACAGCGTTAGGCAAGGCTATGCAAGCCACTACAAAGCAGAGTATAACCCAGGCACGGACCTGGAAGCTGTCCTGCTGCTCATGGTGATGGTACTGGCCAGATACATCCTTTGCTTAGCAGACCAGCTTCTACTACCAAGCCCAAGCACCACAGCTATGCACTACAACTGAAGTGGCATCAAATCCTGTACAGTTTTTGAAGCTTTAACACTCCCATCCAAATTCAAGGGGCCTGCATCTATCTTGAGTTTCCTCCCTACTGCAGTCCCCTGAAACAATTCTATACACGCACGCAAGCACTCCCTTTCCCACCCAGATTCTCTTTGCTCCATTTATTCCACTTTCTGTCACATTCTCGTTAGTTATCTCCCTACCATCACCCTCCAAAGACTCACCAGTTCACACAAGGGAAACATTCACCCAAGAAATCCATGTTCCCAGCTACCTTGCAATTAGCTCTTCCCAAAGCAGGGGAACAGTTGCTAAAGCTGTGATGCTACTCCCCCTGCCCAGATGAGGTTTTTTGCTTTCTGTCTCTTCCTGCATTTACATCTGCACAAAACCCAGGAAGAATGAACTTCCTATAGTACCCCAAAAGCCTTTTCTGTTTTAGAGCATCTGCATTTCATGGGTAGGACTTTGAAAATACTCCTAGCTGAAATTAAACTGTGAAAAGAGGGAGGTTCTGGTCAGCAGCTAGAAATGACCTGCCAGCACAGAGTTATCACTCTGCAATACAGTATTTGTTTTAAATTTAATAACAGCATATAGGTCATGACCACCACTTTAATTACATTGTCATAAAAAAGCCAGAGAACTTTATTCCTATCTGCTGCCATCATAGCAATTATGGTTTAGATTGCCCCCGAAACACACATGGCAGTACCAAAGCGTCTTGACTAGCTTTAGTAGCTTCCACAGCTATTAGCTATGATAATTTCCACTACCTTTTTTCTTGGAAGAGTATTCTTCCATTTCCAGCCCAACTTATTTTATCATTAAGTACATTAAATAGTAAATACTTTTGCATACACATGGGCTTAAGTAGTCCCTACAACTGGAAAATACATTATACACTTCAAGATGAGAACAGTTTAGAGGAAGCCACTCAGAAGTTGCTAGCTTAAAGCAGAACTTTCCTCATTGCTATCTCCCCTAATCTCCTTTGACTTGAATACTGAAAGCTGTCATTCTACGGAAGTTTTATAATCTCATCAGTATAAAACACCCAAGCACGAAGACCAAACAAATTACAGAGATGTTTAGGATAGGGTGCAACTTAGTTGAAGAGTTGTTACTAGGACAGTTTTTCATTCCCGATGGGTTATTTTTCCTCCCTTAAACCAGGAAGTTATTTTCTCCAAGGATTTTTAGGTTTAAGAACATGTATTATGTTACACCAGTTTCTTTGCTGTAAAGGGTCCATTGAGAAGACTAACAACAAGAAGGGCAGGAATAAAGTTGTCAGTAGGGATCATCCTTAGTCTTGGAATGTTTGCAGCTATGGCAGCTGAAAGTTTGCCCTTCTGTATATTTAAAATATTGTGTTGATAAAGCAATTCTAACTGACCTAGCAGATCAACAGTAGTTCAGTTAGCGCCAGCAGACTGCAGGAGAAAGTGGGCCCAAGTGCTCCCATAGCAAGCCCTAGGAGCGTCTCCCAAATACACATATAATCTAAGCAAGCATGTTAAGAGCTCATAAAAGATTGCCTAGGTAACCTGGAAATATGGGAGAGCTAGTTTTTGCTAGTGTCCTGATGCCCATACCAAAGACAGGTGAAATACCCCTACTGCCTCCAGCTAAATTCCACAAGCCAGAAGAGAATGTGCTTCCATATGTAAGTAAAATCCCTTGCTGGCAGGTTTGCAGAAACAAAATTTTATTTACACAGGCAAGTCTATCTTTAGACCCCATTGAACTCTTTACATTTCTAGAATATTTACATGATTTCAAGATGCTCCAAGAGTAGAGTGATGGACAAAAAAAAGATTACAGAAACTGTCAAAAGCATAGCAAAAAAACCCAACCTATCATTGTGCTTTAAAACTTATGATCTAGAGTAATGTAGAAGTGTAATTTTAGCACCTTGGTCATAACGGTCATGCTATATAAGACACTTAAATAGCAGAGGGGATGTCAGAAGTGACCGTATCCAGAGGTTGCCAGTGACAATTCATGAGGGAATCATAGAGTTCTTCACTTGTCTCCATAAATTGTCTGTTCATTTCATCAACATCCAAGTAAAGCTGTGGATCTGAAAATAAAAGCCTGGTAAGTACAAGTGTCAGATCTTGGGAAGCATGCACCCAAAAACCTACAGTAAATGCCTAATAAAATGTTTCAGCTAAATTTAATAATTTAATAGATTGAATAGTAAGTGTAGCAAGATGTTTGTTCACCTAGAATTTTAACAAACCAGAGAAGTCCAGCTTCTTTTGGAATTTGTGTATTAGAATGCTAGGACTATATTGGTATTTCAAGCTAAAGAGCAGATTTAAGGGTAATTAACCATGAAACTCTCCCAAAATCCATTTAATTCATTTCTACTACAATATGCATTATGCAGGATAAAGTTTCCGAACACTAACACAAGATGTCCGTGCAAACCTTCCAGGCCAAACTACTAAGTTTTGTACCAAATCTTTAAGTGCAAGTTGAATCCTCCTTTTAGGACCTGCAATGTTAAGCTTTTACCTCAGGGTTTGGAAAACAAAGCTTTTGCCTATTAATGAATTTAACACAGAATATGCTTAGCAGAATCAATACAAAGATATGACAAATTCTGTATTAGACCATTTTAGAAGGAGAATGAAAGCAAAGTTACAAGAAACCTACTGTGAAGTGCTGTTGACAATGTCCCATTCTACTTGACATGGTGTACACTATCAGCTTTAAAATTCTACCTCATCTCAGCTATAACCCAGAGGATCCCACTACATCGGCTGAATTTCCAAGACATTCTTCATCCAATAGTCACTGGCCTGTATTGTTAAAGGGCACAAGTATGGCTAAATTCAAGTTGCAGTGATAGATTCATCATTACCTTCAGTTATTAGGTCATCGCTGATTTCAGTCATAGCTGAAGTTTCCTAAAAAAAAAATAAAGAAAAAGAAGAAAATCTCCTAAGTTTAATCATAATCCATTTCAGAAAGCATCAAAATTATTTTGGATTTGTGTACTCCCAAACCATTCCCTCCTCCCACAACT